AACATCTTAATCACATTGAATAATATTTTATTCTTATTAATATATATTTATTGACTAGTATGTCAGACACTATGCCAGAATATGTATTATGTGCCAGAATGTAAATATATTTTTGTAAATTCAAACTAAAATAAGTAACTGATTATTAGCTCTCATTTTCACTCTGTAACACTGAGATACATAATACATACCTCAATATACTAGGAGTTAGGGATAATATGTTTGGAATTTGTGCCTATTAAAATAGAATTCACTAATGTATAGTGGAAGGGGATTAAAAATGAGACACCTGGGCTTGTCTCATAAGCTGTGTGAATGCCTAAATCTCTTTAAGCATCAGTTTATCACTCATAAGAGGGATGATGCTACTCTCAGGACTTTCCGGGTTACTATGGGCAACAAATCGATTCAGTCATTGATCTGCAAATATTAAGTAAATGTACTTTTATTAAACTATAAAGCACTATATAATTTTTAAGTATTAGAATCATAAGCAAAAAAATCACATTCAAATATTTAATTATCAGGACAGAAAAAAACACTGACTAGGAAATGATGTGAGTGGCACATGAGGGTGGGATGAGGTGTGCAACGACTTGACACTCGAGTCCAAAGACCAACAATCAAATGTGATCCAAAACATGGTAAGATAGGATGTCAACACGACAGGCCAAATGGTTTTCCTTCTCTGCTCCTTGGGAAGGTAGAATTGATGGGCATTATAACAATACTGAATTCCTAAGGAGTAATATTTTGGCAGCTACTTCCCAGATGTTATGCATGACTGCAGTGGGGGCCAAACATTCAGTAAGGTTACTGTTCTCCAGACGAGGACATCGGAGATTTTCTACTCTTTTGTACCAGATATTACCCTGAACAGAATCCTTACCTAAGAGATCAGGGGAATGCAAACAAACAAAAACATATTTTGAAAAATAAGAATTGTTTTCTAGTTGTCAGTGTGGATGAATAAAATTTGAAGCAAAATTATTCTCAATATTCATAATTTCTTCTTTGATGTAAATAGCTCATAATACAAAAGAATTAATACCAAATGCCCTATGCAACCATTACAGGGAAAAATTACTGTTATACAATTTTGCTCATTATTTCAATAAATACAGCTATATAAGTTTCTCATATATTATGAAAGAAAAGGAACAATATTAAGTGGTTAAAAATTACGTTAATATTTACCTTTTATGGAAGAGTTATATTTTTCTTGTTCTTCAATGAATTAAATGCACATAATGATGGAAACAAAAGAAAGAAATCAGCAAGTTTATAGTTAGACATGAAAATGTGAATCAACACAATGGTATGAGTAATAAAATGCAAAGCATGTAATGTGACATGATAAATTACAATGACAAACATGAGGAAATCTCAAATATGGTTCTAAAATTAATCAAAGATAGAATGAATACAACAATTTAGAGATTTAAAATAAAAACAAACATTAGGAAATTAACACATTTAGCATTTAAAAAGTATATTTTGTGGTATTTTTTTCTTGCTTTTTAAGAATTAAAAAATATTTTGGCACCAATTTTACTATAACATTTTAATTTTAATCCATTGTGACTTTCTATTGTAAAACTATTTGAAAGCATATTTAATATTCATGACTAACATTTAAAAAACTGCATTTCAGATAATTTGAAATTTAATATAATTGATGAAAAATAAATTCCATGTTTTACTAGAAGTAGGCATTTTGTTTACATCATAAGAAATATTCTGTAACAGTTTGCACATGGAAAAAAATATGGTCTAATTTAAGTAATCCTTTCTTCCTTCTCAAATCAATAATATTAACATATGTCCTGGTAAAATTGTCCTTTGGAGACTGTTTCTCATACATTTCATCAGCTTTCTATCAACCTTCTTGCTGGCACACTATATACTGAGGAATGATGGCCTATGTAGATACTTGTGAAGAGGAACACTGCCAGAACCCAGGGAGCAGATACACTAACACAACACATAAAAGGTAAGTGGCACAGCATGTAATCTTTAAATATGTCCTCTTTAAAAAACAGTTGAGAACAAAAAAATTATTTGGTTTTAGAAAACCATGCAACATTTTTATGCAACCAATATGTTGCTTTCAAGCCTCACTCTATGCAAGGGCTGCCTTGGACTACAACATTGGAATATACACTGATAAATTTCTTGGAAGTCTTTGTTCTCAATGATCACAATACTATTTGAGTTGCCTAAATTTTAAGGCTATTTTTTCAGCTACTGTATCTCAAAATCTGTATTGTAATCATCCCTCTTCTTTTCCCCTAACAAAACATTAACATAATCAAATTCCATGTAGCATGCCTAATTTTTTTTAAAACCTGTGAAATACTTTCTCAAAAATTAAGTAAACGTCTTTTCAAATGATATAGTAGCTGTTAAAATAATACATACTGTTTTTATGGTACAAAGAGAGAATGGTAAAACAGAGTTACTGAAAAATAAAAAAATACCCAAATAATCCAATCATATCAGCCTACATCCTAAACACAACAATGTGGATAACGGTATCCAGAAACTGTGTATGAATAAAATTATTTTATAAGTTTAAGAAAAAGTTGTATCACTATCCAAGAATCTAAACCATTTAAAATATTTGTTCTTACCAATCAACTGCTTATCAACTCTATTTTTTTTAAAGAAAAATCACCCTCTATTAAAAATTTTAAAAAATAAATGAAAAAGAAGACTAGAAGGAAGTGCAGTAGAGCCTGAATCAATTTCAAATAAACTGCATTAATCTTCATAGAAGATAGAACCAAATTTTAACAAATAATATAAAAAGAAAAAAGATGATTCTGTAGCCCTAAGAACAACAATGCAATCAATGTTTAATAGAATGTGCTAAATTCTGTCTAGCCCATGGATCAAATTAGAAGTGTACTTTTAAAAACATATTTTAGGATACACAAAGATGTCATGTGAACTGTTCAGTTCAAAATAAATCAATAATAAGGTGATGGTGTACAGTATCAACATATACCAAAAGTCCCAAAGCACATATTAACATCATAAAGTAAACCAAATCTATTTTAATTACAGAAGAACACTGAGATATAATAATATGTGTCGTCATATTCTTAAAAGGTTGTATCTACATAACCATAAATTTCAGGAACCTCAAATAAGTGTTTACTAGTATATTTATGATATTAAATAGCAAAATAACTCCATCAATTTCATTCTCAGTCACTCCTTTCTTCCCACCTCAATTGAATCCTTACAAATTGAAGGTTTATCTGAAAGACAACTGTGAATATAAATATAATAAACAGTAATGTTGATGTTAAATAGAACATGAGCTTTTTTAAAAACCAAAATCCAGCATACAATCCAACTGATTTCATAGATGCAATTCTTATATCTACAGAAATAATATAACTATAATCTCACTGTAAGAGTTATATGCAGTACACCCTTATATAATTTGAACCCGAAGTATTTCAGCAACTGGAGGAAATGCAAAGAATTTTAGGAACAGATGACTCTTTAGATTTCAATCTTTAGCAAAATATGGCTAGTAACACTGAGTTTGTGGCTACACACCAGAATTTATAGTTTGTTTTGTTGTGCAACAGGAAGTCATGAATGGATAATTTAAATAAACACCACATTTTATTTATTTTTTAGTAAATTTTAAAACAATTTTATCTAGGTTATTGCTAATTACAGCCTTAATAACATAAATTATGAGTTATCTCCTCAAAATGTTCCCAGAAATAAAAGAAAGCTTATTAGACACGTGAATTGAGAATTCCAATGAATTTCTATTTTAGAAAAGAAAGTCAGATTTTCACATAGCCTCATATTTTCCAGATGAACTAAATGAACACCCGTATGAGAAGCCTGAATAGTAAAGCATAAAATATCAATAAAATGTATGATTTAAAAAAATAATACAAATCCAGAGTTTACTATAGCAGCATTCCTCTGTCAATAAGCTCATACTTCTTAAAATCTATAACCAAGTATTCTGCTTACAAACTCTGCCATATCAGTCTTGGAAACAATGTGTTTATCTTCTTAAGTCTTTAACATTTTGATGATACATTCAGTAGAGCACTTCAATTAAGTGAGTAAAACAGGTACCCAGCACCCTCAACATAGAATGAAATACAAGTAAACATCAGTAACAACCAACAATGTTGAAAAAAATATTCAAAATGCTAATCTTGCAGTTGTTTCTTTACAATACTCGTTTTAAGTGTAAGGCCAGTGCATTTAGATTACAACCCCAAATTAAAAATTATTCCAGTGAACTGCTTAACAAATACCTGGTAAGATTTATGTGACAGCATATACTGATAACAAATCGTTTCACCTACCGAGAAATGGGATAGCACCTCAGGTCACATGAAGGAAACAGTGACTATTTTAACTAGTATTTAAGAAATCTAGCACAGGTAGTTTAGGGAATTTAATTTCCATTATCAAAACATTCTCCCCACCACCTGACCCAGTGTGTACATGCTTAAAATAAGGAAATTTTAAGTAACATGAACTGTTAACAAAAGATTAAAATGTGTACTCTAAATCATTTTTATCAAATTCATATAAGATAAAAGATATTGCAAATAATTTAAAATAAAGAGCACTAGTAAAGGCTTCTACGTGATCAAGAATATACTTGAAAAAGAAGGTTAAATAAGTCTTCTTTTAACACATACCATATTGCACTGAGGTTTTTAATTGTTTATCTTCTTTCTTTGTTCTTTGCCAAAAGGTATCTGTAGGGCTCAATCTGTTCTTTCTTTAGACCATCTAAAATTCATTCATTCACTCACTCAGCAAAAGTACCATCTATGCCGTGAACCACTATGACTTGGTGCTGGGAATAAAATTCTAAGAAACTTGAATTTTTAGGATTCAGCAAACTACATGTAATCAAATACTATCTGTTCACTAAATATATGTGAAAAGAGGTGGTTTTCAAATCCTAGAGTTTTGGACAATGATCTCTCTTTAGCGGATACCTTGTTCTATACTGCCGCTCCTCAGGGGCACCTGTGGGAGCTGCCTTCCCCTTCGGCCGCTGGAGGAGGCGTCCCTGGGAGGAGAGTGGCTTGGACTGCCTTGGCGGTGCGTTCTGTGGGCAGAAAACAAAGGGGGAAATGAAATGAAGAAATCCCAAGAGGGCCTGGCAAAATTTTTTTTCCTTCTTCCAGTTACTATGAATATAGATATAAAACCCTAACTAGGCCTTTGGAAGGAAAATCAAATACTTTATGATATGTATAAAAAGAAAAATATTACAACACGGGGCTAAAAGAAAGGGCAGCGTCTGTTACCCAAAGTTCTGCGTAACAAAATCCTGAACTGAGCAGCACTGGACTCGCTATAACTTTCCATGAAGTTGTGGCTTTCAGTTAGGTTATCAAATTTTGGTAGTGCTGGACCAAATACATCTAATTCCAGCCTCTGAATTTTCAGAGCATGGGTAAATTAGTTAAGAAAGGCTGTTACCTAAATTGCGACTATTAAATCCATGTTTATACCTAGAATTATTTATAAGTGGTAAGAATAGTTACGACTGCGGACTTTTTATAAATTACCATTTACTTTATTTTTAAATAGGAAAAGCCTTGAAAGATATTTAAGAAATAACCTTGGGCACATGCTATGAAACATACTGGTGTAAGAATCGAAATTACAAATACAAAGGTTAGAAGCGTGCAGATACATTATTGCTGTACGGGTTAAGCTGACCTCCATCTGCTGGCATCAAAACATTTTCTTTTTAACTAAAGAACTTTAAAACTAAGCTTTTCCCGAGCACATACAGAATTTTTTTTTTTAATTCCTTATACTTTTTAAAGCAAATAGACATTTAATTCCACATAATTTCTTATAAAGGATTCCATGTAATTAAAAAATATAGATATGAATATGCCACAAACAGATGGAAGGACATAACAAAGCCAAATTTTATTGTCAATGATAGCTAATTGGCAGGAACTAGAGAGTACCACCAGCACAGTGGAGATAGATGCAAGTCATAGAGGATGTGGGAGAGGTTTAAGTGTCACAAAGAAAGGATTAAAGTTATGGTGTCATAATGAGTGAAAGCATCGAGTGCTCAGGGAGGCACAACACCACACCAACACCCGGAGGCAGGACATGAATGCTGGGCTGGACAGTGAATAGCGACCTGGTCAGAAGCGGAGAAGGTGGCGCCGACCCTCCGGGGGCAAGGTGGTGGACAGAACACAGTGTTCTGACACTAGAGTGCTCACTCGACCTTGAGCGAGTGGGATGTTTTCCCCTAAGGACTGGCTGATCAGTCGCTCTTGGGGTTGCGTATCCCCTTCTAGAAAGACATGGTGGGAGAACCCTAAAACATTAGGGTCAAAAAAGATCTTCAGTCAGCAGCAGGTTCACATTAACTTTGAAACCAACACATCTGTCCAAGGAAAACCTGGTTACTCTTTCTTACAAGACAGTGATTATAAAAACCAGAAGGAAACCCACCACACAATTACTGAAATGCAATTCAATTCAAACTGACAAGTTATTGCAAGTGTGCACACCATGTGGTTTTAGAGGGCTTCAATGTAATAAACTTCTTATACATCCCATAAGGGTAGAGACTTCTTTCTTTTTTTACTGAGCTGTATCTCTAGTGCTTAGGACACAGCTACACAGAAAGCAAGAGCTCATAAAGATATCCTAATTCAGTGAGTATAATTAGAATGATGAGCTATACTTTGAGCCCTTGCCTTCAGGAAGGAATAATGCAATGTAGAACTCTGTGTACATTTTTCCAATGTTCATCGTAATTTTATTCTGCAATAAGAAAGTCTATACCAAATAGCAAAGGAAGATGTCTTCTGAGGATAAACAGTCCAACATATTAAAATGACATAATAAGATGAAAAGTACTTCATTATTGAACTAAATGCAAAAGGCTGGCATAGGGATATCATGTACTTTAATATATAAAAATATCTAAAACGATATTTATCCATATACTGACAGTTATCTCAATGCGGTATTAAAAATATTTTGAAGACAATTTAAGAATTAAGGATTAAGAATTAAAAACTGATGTTTATCTATAGAGTGGTCCTTCCTTATCCACAGTTTTACTTTTCCATGGTTTCAGTTAACCAGTCAACCATGACCCAAAAATATTAAATGAAAAATTGCAGAAATAAACAATTTATAAGTTTTAAATAGCATGCCATTCTGAGTAGCACATGAAATCTCCTGCCGTGCCTACTCCAACCCACCCAGGATGTGAATCATCTCTTTGTCCAGCGTATCCACAGTGTATATATGTTACCTGCCATTTAGTCACTTAGTAGCCACCTCAGTTATCAAATCAGTTATCAGAGAGAGAGAGAGAGAGAGGGAGAGAGATTGAGAGAGACCACATTCACATACTTTATTACAGTATATTGTTTTTATTATTCTACTTTATTAGTTATTGTTGTTAATTTCTTACTGTGCCTAATTCATAAATTAAACTTTATCATAGGTATGTATGTATATATAGATAAAAACAGAAGATATGTAGGGTTCCGTACTATTTGCAATTTCGGGCATCCACTGGGGGTCTGGAAGGTAACCCAGTGGATAAGGGAGGACTACTGTACAGGGTTTGCAAAAGTAGGTTTACAGTTGTTCATATAAAAAGTAATACAATAATTAATAAATAATAATACAAGAATAACTCTGTTTCATATATTCACAACTGTAAACCTCCTTTTGCCCCACCTTGTGTATATGTTTCTTTAAAACAGACATATGTTTTTGTTTTTTTCTTCATTTTCAGGGTGTACTTTAAATAAAGTGCATGTTTAAGATACCTAATAAGTATTATTTTTCACAGTGAGAAAAGCAATGGAATAACATCTCACTCTTTAAAACAATGCTGTGAGATTCAAGTAAGTAATTTCGAGTGTGTGAGAGAAAAGAATATATATTGATCACAGAAAGCACATGAATTATTGAATGCTTTATTCAACTTGTATTTAGATTGATGATTTTTCTTTTAAGTAAAATGTTTTTCATAGTTATAATTATTTTAATTCAGGATATCTTGTTTGTTTCAAAAAAATAAAATGGAAAATGTCAGATTTTAGAAAACAAAAAGGTACAGTTTAGGTCTTTAATGAGCACTTTATCTTCTTGAGATCTGGATTATTAATGCTTTATCAGACCCTAATGCAGGTCCCAAACACCTAGACTGTCATCTCAATTTCTAAAATAAAATAAAAGAAGAACTGACAATACTTTACATATTAAAACTGTTCATTCATTCTGAATTCATTTTTGACTTTACAGAATTAATTTATATTGGAAGGACTACATGATCAAATCCTTTCCAATGACAAAGAATGACACTTTGTCTATTACTCTTTCAAAGTCATTATCATGGGAATAAATTTCAAGCACTCTTTGTTCAAAATACACTTTCTAAATGTAATATGAAAATTGAATACTACAGTTTTCAACCTTGTACTGAGATATTTCACGGATCCTGCAATTTCCCTAAAATCTTGCTTCATTCCATAATGCAATTCATAAGCACCAAAGTACTACTTAAATGTGGCTTGAGGGTGAATAATTCAGGCAGATTCAATTAAGCAAACTAAATGGCAAAAATATGAAAAGCAATCTCAGGGCAAATAGATGACTTCCTCGGTGAGTGTTAAACAGATCTAGGCAAGTTGACTTAAGTGTTCTCATCTCCCAAACCACGGGCCTGAGGTGTCTGAAAACAGCTGTGCTGTTTCAGGCTAATAATTTCACACCAGATCTATTTTTTCTCTGACATGAACTAAAACTCCCATAGTAACAAAACAGTTCCTGCCACCAGGCAAACCATAACAAGTATGAAAGCACAGACCAAAATCGAGGCATAGAAAACCACTCTGCCTGAGGAAGACAGGAGTGTGTTAGGAAGGCTGAATCACAGGCAGGAAAACTGAGGACAGGAAAAATGCAGAATGTGAAGAGAGGAGAGCAAGACTTTGGAGATGAGAGATAATGGCCACAGTACAGTTTGTTTTAGGCAAGAGAACTAATCAAGAAATTCTGAGGTATGGGAGTGAAATGTTGAGAGAATCCAGGCTATAGAGCCTTGATGTTTTTAATGAAATGGTATGTGCTAAGAATGTAAAAATGAAAGAGATTAAGAACGACCACATTAGAGAATGGAACAGAGTGCATGAGGGGTAGAATGATAGTGACAACTATACTGGGCATCAGAATGAAGCCATCGAAACCAGCCAGGCAATAAGGGTTTGTGTGTATATCTGTATGTATATTTGTATGCCTGCATGTGTTGTATATATGTGTGTACCCAGGCACACATATACCCGTATGTATGTTCTTTGCTTATATTCTCACAACAGCTCTGAGAAACGTTATATCCCTGTTTTATAGATGGAAGAACTGAGGATCATAGAGTGACTTGTAAAAAGACAAGAAGCCAACATGTGGTAAAGGCAAGATCCATACCGGTCTATGGAGCTCCAATATTTCTCCCTTTTCTGCCTATTGGGGTCTACATTATGAGATAAAAAATGGTAATTTCATACCTCTGGATATATTGTTAATCTTGTAAGATAAAATATACATATACCTATATGTCCAAGTATCAAAATTTTTAGCAAGATTTCATAGTATTGTCATAGAGTTTGTAGGAAAACAACATATGGGAAATGGTATTTAGCAAATACATAATTTGCTAAATATGTCTCTCTATATATATATCTCATATTTTTAAAACAAAAACAATGAGTCTTATGGAGAAAAATTCTAATTAAACCTCAGTATGTCTGACTAGTCCACCATCTACAAATCCATATCTAGTCACTAAATTCAATCCACTCCTGCTCTCTTCACCTAAGACTAGTGTGAGACATGAACTTAAGTAAAACACATTTCTTACCAAAACCTTAAGACTGTTAGTCAGACGTGTCTGTTGCTGCAAACAGGCTTGCAATAAGTTGCTTCTGTTTGCAACTTAACAATATAGTTGTGGTATTTTATATGACTTTTTAAAGGATAAGCATGTGTGCGCTATTTAAGGTCAAATCTTCAAAATGGTTCCCCCTGTAATAGTCATCACAGGCCTACACGAGTTCTTTCCAGTAGCACCAAAACCACGTAAAATGAATACTCAAGCAGTTCTAAATAGTAGTCTTGACAAAACACCCCCAGGTAAGATAAAGAGTATAGGTTCCAGGAAAAGGAAAATCACTAACATAGTTCACTGGGTAAAAAGTCAGACTTTAACTAAGGAGTTTCCCCAAAGAAACTGAAGCACTAATATAAATAGTTAGGCACAAAAGTCGAAAGTCAGTTCTGCCTGGGGCTAATGGCAAACAATCACCATGTTTGTCAAGGTATTTTCTTACAAAGTTATTCCTCATAAGGCCAAATTTGTTTAGGCCAACAAATTACCTTCACAATTATAATCCTTACACAGCAAACTCTGCCAGAAGCCATGGCATAACTGTAGTTTGACTCCTTTGGGGAAGTTGTTAACTCCCAAAGGCTAAAAATCAGCATTCACATCATTTATACTGTGACCTGAATTCACCTATAGTAAGATGTCAACTCAAGGTATCCTCTAATGAAATGAGAACTAACACAAACTTAGAAAATCCAGACCAATTTTCTTTTGTAACTAGCTATTCAACAATTCACTTAAAAACTAAGTGTGTATGCATGGGTTGTGTTTCTCAGTGGACTGAGCATCCCATGAACTGAGAGGTCCCGGTTCAATTCCTGATCAGGGCACATGCCTGGGTTGAGGGTTTGATACCCAGTAGGGGGCATGCAGGGGGCAACCAAACAATGTTTCTTTCTTACATCAATGTTTTTATCTCTCTCCCTCTCTAAAAAAATCAATAAAAACATATATATTTTTTAATAACTAGGTATGTAATTTATACTTTAATAGAAATCAAGAAAGTGCTCTAATTATAAGCAAACAGATCTATACACCTAAAATGTTTGAGTTTTCTTTATTAAACCTATAGGCAAAGTAAGTAAAGATAAGAGTAACATGAATATGGTCCTTAAGCAGCAAACATTTGGGATTGGGAGTCAATTAAATCCTTGCTATTCTCACCGAAGGATGATTTGTGTTTATTTACAGATATTTTCAGGAAGATGCTTTATCTGGGGTTATGCAACTTCAGTTGATCTAGAATCATCAAACATTTTGTAAAATAGTCTCTTATTATGAAAAAGTAAAACAAAAAAACGTGTTCATTGATACATCCTAAATACAAAATCAAATAAGCATAAATGGAATAAAAAGAATATACAACACTAAGGAAAAATTTCAATCATGTCAAAATAATTGAAATTGTGTGTACATGAGATTGTGACATTATGGATGATGGTTGAAAATTTAAAAAAAAACTTAAGAAACTTAAGTAGTTACAGTGCTAGTAGAGAGACTGCAGTGAGCTAAGTTGACAATAAAGAATGCATAAATAGAAACACAATCAGTATTTCATCTATCTATCTATCATCTATCTATCTATCTATCTATCTATCTATCTATCTATCTATCTATCTATCTATCATCTATCTAATCTATTTAATCTATCGAAAATGCTAGGACTCTGTGCTTCATTTCCTTGCTCAAAGTCCACTTCTTTTGTAAAACTGAATTCCAAGTCAACACTTAGTTTCCCAGATCCATCTTCTATTCTAAGTTCCCTAAATAGTCAATACCCCAAAGACCATTAGCTGGGAATAATTTCCATCTCCCCTTCCCACATCCCTTGATGTGACTCATACCTACTCATTTTTCTGACCCCAACTCAGAGGTAATATCCTCTGGGAAGCCTTCCTCTTCTGTAGCTATTTTATTCCATGAACTTAGCACACAGTTGGCACATGTCTGTTAACTGAATGATTCAATGTGTTGTAGTTGCATAGATTCAATCTCAACCAATGCTATTGTGTCAGCCTCACTGGTGTCTTGCAGCTAACCTCAGAACTTCCAGTCTGCCTTCAAAAATGCTGCCAAAGTGATCTATAACTGTCAAACTCAAAACCAACCATGTGCCTCTATGTTTAAAGCCCATCATGAATAAAGCAGAAAGTACAAATCTGCAGCATGGCCCACAAGGGCATTTATAACATAACCTCTAAGGATTTCTCCAGCTTTATTTTCAGCCCTCTCTCCCATCTCCTACATCCTATTCTCCCACCTCAAACTGAAGAGGATGTTTCAAGCCTCAGTGTTTTCTCATATTGTTCCCTTTTCATGTAATACTCAACTCTTCACATCTACTTTTATATATTTGGATTTAGCTCAAGTGTCACTTGTTTATAAAATGTTTCCTAACTCATCAGCACCCCACTCCCTTCCCTGGTTCTCACTATATCTTGTGCATGTCTTTGTAACTGCTATGAAATATACTTATTTATTTAACATCCATGTCACCCTACATGCTTTCTATAATTGTTGGATTAAAAAATATATGGTAATTGGATTTTTGGTGTTTCTTACAACTATGTAAAAATATAAACAAACATTTTTTGCACCTGAAATATTTTTTAAAATTACGAAATTAAATGAATTACTACAAATGAAAGGTCAGCAATCCTTATAGTTTTACTATAAGCAAATATTTTTGGTTGTAATATACAAACAGAATCTTAGATTATCCATTTGTAAGAAGTTTTTATAAAGATGGCATTATTCAGATAACAGATACTCAAATAAAAACTATATGCATAGTTTAGGTGCTATATCCATTGTTAACATTTATATAATCTCAGAAACAAAATATGAATGTCTTAATATGTACACAGAAATAAGTATAGATTTCATTATCTTTAATAATCAGAATGATCACTAAAATAAATACATAATATTTTTCTTGCGCCCTAAGATTTAAGGGCTGCCTTCAAATCATCTTTCTCTTGTTTTTCGAATGAATTATTCCCACATAGGAGAGTTATTTACAAGAATGTCTTTCAACACCACAATGTGTGTATAAAAGCTGATCCTGTAAAGTCAGAGTGAAGGCACCCCGGAATAGATTAGAAAAACAACAGATGGCTGCACAGCACAACACCAAGCCTACCTTTCTGCATCAGGGGCAATGCCTTTCCTAGTCTGTTTTTGGATGCTAGCTCTTTCAGACTTTCTGGAGTGCCTGTGGAATGAAGTGTTAAAGAAATACAAAATATATGATGAATAAAGCTACAGTAACATCATATAATGACAAAAGCAACAGATATGAAACATGGCAACTATTTCACATAATGGTTTTGTCAGTCAGGACTTCTTAAAATGAAATAAAAACAAAAATCAGAACTGGTGCTGTGTGGAAGACACAGATTGGCCAACAGGAGACAACAAGCTGACATTCCATTAGACTAGACCAGTAACTCAACAGCAATGATTTAACAGGGCCTCCTGCTGAGCAACTGTGTCCCTCCTGATGAGTAAACAAACCCAGTGGTGAAATGTAGTGATGACACATGTGATGATGGAAATGGTTTAAGTGCTAAATGACCACAAAGCCACAAAGTGACTTCACTTTTACAAATTGAAACTTGGTGCCATGAAGATTTTTCCTTTCTTTCTTTTTCACCCCCCACAAAATTATGAAGAGAAGAAAAATGTTATAGTGAAAGGTTCGACATAAGAGAATTTTAAATGAACTATTAAAATGATCAGATGCCTTCGTAACCACGTAGCATTTTTAAAAGCCAATCACAGCACAAATCAAAGAAATAATAACGTCCTCAGTTTATTCTGTGTCCCAAAAGTACATATGTACACTGAGCATTTGGGACTTGAAATGCATTTTCTCATAGAAACAATATTTATATATAAAGCTTACCTCTCCAAGGCAGCTTACATATGTCTATTTAACCTAAAATGTGTCTATACTACAATATTTATGAAAGAAATATACAATATTGTGGTCAAGAAACTCATTTATAAAAAAAAGAGAAACCATAAAGACGTGTATTTTGATCTCAATAACTGTTTCTATAATTTATGCTTATTTTTATTTCCCAATATCCCTTCCTCCCAATGATGTTAAGGAGGCAATTGTTTGTGGTTTTCTTTAAAGATATAACTGACATATAACATTATATTAGCTTCGTTGTGAAACATAATTATTTGATATTTGTATCTATTGCAAAATAATCACCACAATAAGTCTAGTCAGCATCCATCACCACACATACTTACACTTTTTTTTTTTTCTGTGAACAGAACTTTTAGGATCTACTCTCTTCTCTTGATTCTGTTTACTTATTAATACTCAATACCTTAGTGTCCAATATATGTCACATCACGCCCTGTTAGGCACCACAGACACATATCAAAGTACAAAGTCTGCCTTCGCAGGGTGTAGAGACTTCCGGGCCCACTCATCTCTTTCAATTGGCCTTTCATTGGTAGAAGGCAAATACGCAACAACACAAAACCTCTCAAACTAGTGCTAACAACAGAAAGTAAAACAGGCAAGAAAGATCAGACATGTGTGTGGGGGGTGTGTTTGGTGGGGGCAGTTGCAGATACAATTTTGAGTAGGGTGCTCAGGGAAGGACTTCCAGAGTTGGGGACATTTAAAAAAACACATAAGGTGAGGGAGTTATAGCCATGTACGTATCTAGGGAAAAACATCCCAGGCAAAGGTAACATTAGTGAATAGGCCCAAAGTCAGTTATGTGTCTGGTATGTTCAAACAATAGTAAGGGGACAAGGAAGAAAAGTGTTAAAGTGGAGATCATATGACAAGACTTGGAAGAGAGGAGCTAGAGATATACAGAGTCTGGTACAAACTTTCTACCTTTGCCCAACAAAATAGTTTATAAGCATCTTTTATAATTTGTCTGCTTTTCTCCTACCCTTAGTAATTTCTATGAATCTTTCCAGACTCAACTGAGAGTTTACTTCCTCTGTAAAACTCTTAGCTCTTCCTCTTCTTATCTCCTAAAACTTAATGATTCATCAATTATATATTAGACTCATCAATTAATATTAGATTGATCATCACAGCAACTGACGATGCTGATGACAACAACAATGACGATATGAATAACATCTAACACTAAGATTTGCTGTATGCTACCATGATCACCGTACCTGCATTATTTCATCTAATCTCACCAGTCCAGTGAGACAGGTACTATGCCTTTATCCTTTTTTAAATAGAAGATTGAGGCTGAGAGAGGTTAAGTAATTTTCTCCAACTCACATAGTTATTACATGTCAAACCATGAAATTAACTGAGTCTATAATAATAAGAGTATCAGTGAGCACATTGCATCTGCGGCATAAACAACACTGGAACATAGCTAAAAGCATGGATGCTGGAGTCAGACTGTTGGTTGGATCTCAGCGTTGTTTCTGTCTAGCTGGGAGATTTTAGTCAAGTTACTTAAACCTCATTGTGACTGTTTTTTCCCTCTACCTGCAAAGTGGCAATAATAATAGTACCACCTGTTTGCTAATTTTATTTTATTTTATTTTTTATCCTCACCAGAGGACATTTTTGCATTTATCTTGAGATAGAGCAGAAGGGAGAGAGGGAGGAAGAGAGAGAGAGAAACATTGATGTGAGAGAGACACATCAAGTGGTCGCCACCCACATGACCCCAACTGGGACCGGGGACAAACTGCAACTGAGGTACTTGCCCTTAGCGGAAACCGAACCTGGGACTCTCTGGTCTGCGGGCCGACGCCCTAACTGCTGAGCCAAACTGGCCAGTGCCTGTTTGCTAATTTTCAATCTATCAGCATTATTTGGTATTTTTATGGTAGTATTTACTAGTTTTGTAGTATTACATAAAACAAGGATTTGTAGTAGTATTAACACTGCTTAAAACAACAAGAGGTAAATGCCATGAAAGTATTAAGTCAGATCGATGCTTTGTAACTGAACAACAAATATTCATACAAAAGTTCAAACACCATGTTTTTGTTTTTAACCTTCTTGTTAAGGATGTCTTTTTTTTTCTCTTTAAATGCCATAGAAACTTACTTTATTGAAGATTCTTCTAAAGATTTCTATAAAGGATATGTCTTTATAATTCTTCTAAACACTTGATAGAATCCTCAAATTGAGTGAAAATGATACACTTAATAGTAATAATTAAATAGAAAGCAAAAGTAGAGCGGGAAAAACCGTAATGTCTTTTCTACCCCGAATCCTAAATTATTGTTGTGGATATGCTGCATGAACACCTGCTACTTCAACTAGTCCTTCTAAAGTTACTTAGAGTCAGAAACTGTGTCTGGCTTATTACTAAAACTTTAATGTCCAGCACATAGTAGCTGATCTACAATAATTTGTTGAATGGATGGTTAAAAAAAGTAATATTTTGAGTATTATACTGGAATTTGAGAGTGTAAAAAGTTACAATAAGTAAAAAGCTAACTAGGGCTATAAAACTCGGTTTACATAAAAAATAAATTTAGAAATAAAACTGCACTGTTTACTGAGCTGCAGTCTATTATAGAACACCATAACTAAGAAATGCCTCTGGTTACTGCCTTATGCATAATGAAGTGTCAGTCACCACTGCTGGCCCAATGTATGCTTATCATGATGCAAGAGGCGGCATAGAACCGGTTTTAGAGTCTAAATTCAGTCTGATTAGACTTCATAAATCCATCAACAAGTACCTAAGTATATAGATGAGAAAAGTCCTAGCAAGTTTAAGTGACTAATTCAAGGTAATTAGTTGGTGAGGACACCACCATCATGTCCCCTTGTCCTTAGGTTCTCTGTCCACTCTGCCATCCAGTGACTTTGAATCATTTGATGTGTATTGAAAGAATCCCTGGACAGAAGTGAACAAAACAGTTACAGTGTTTCCATCATATCTTCATATTTGGGGTTTTGACATGTTTTTTGTTTTATTAAAAAATTTTTTCATTGTGGTGAAGGCCTGAGACTGGAGGGGCTGGGTGGAGGGAGACATACGGGGGTGGAGGGGAGACATCTATAAAACTGTCAACAATAAAAGTTTTTTTATCATGTTATTATTCATAAGGAATGTTTCTTTGGTTTAATATTCAAGAATCAGAAATTCTGAGTCTTCACAACCTAATAGACATATGATTGTGGCATTATGCTTCCTAGTACACAGGACACAAATCAAATTGTTTAAAAGCTCTAAGGGTACATTCAAATGTAAGGTATAACAATACTTAGATTTTATCAGTGAATGAAAGCAATAATAATAATAATAATAAAACGTGAGGGTGTTCTTAATTAAATCTAAACTTTTGAAGTTCCATTTTCGATGATTATTCTCCCTCTATTAATTTAAATGTGAATAATCATAAAATATATGAATGAAAAAAAGGTAATTGTGAACATTTATTTCTGTGTTACTTTACTTTCCTCTGCAAATACTAAATTCAACTTCAGCAAGTCTCTGAAGACATGGATAAACACAGTTTTTCTGAAGATATTACAATTCTATTAAAATACAAAATTAATACTAATAAAATAGCAATATTATTTAAGATAATTCTTATAATAAAATAAAAATATAATATGTTCTGCTTGGGGAAATAGTAATAAAAATCCACCATATGTTTTTGTTTAATTATAATTAACACTGACATAAGACTTTATCAATATATATTCTGGCTGACTACCTAGATAGCTTAATGTAGAACACAAATCTCTATCATCTTGTTTACTCATAAGTTTGGGAATAAAAAAATTAAATCTGAAGAGACACTGCCTAAATAAGAAATGATAAGATATACTTACTCTTTTGTATAATATTAGTATTTATGTATATGCCTACAGACATTAAAATAGATCTCCTAACTCATTAACTATTTATAGTATATAGGTATATTTCATTCATGCAAATAAAGGACATTTTTAAAAGCATGGATAATAAAGGTATTAGGAAGCACACAAAAATGATTAGTAATGACCTGAATTTATAAGTGTTTCTACATTGTCTCTCCATCTACATGGCAACTGCCTTGAGTTCTGGAAGTGAAAAGTGGGTGATTTCTTTATTCGAGAAATATTTTTAAAGCATGGAGAAGACTCATTCACTTTGAATAATAAAAACACTTCATACTTTTGGTCCAAGAATCTTACAGGTAAGTGGCTATTACAAAGTGACAAGTGTGGGAAATCACACAAATTTGGTTACTCAC